TGAACCCAGGAGGCAGAGATTGCAGTGAGCCAAGGTGCCCCATTTCCATCCAGCCTAGGCAACAGAAAAGACCCTGTCTGAAAAAAGTTTATTTACTATCTTAGACAATTTATTGTCATCTCATTTCAAAATTGAAGAGTACATTTGAGTCGATTCTTATGCCTGCAGAGACATTTGCCTCTGGCTTAAAATCACTGGCTCCAGGAGGAAACTCCACCAGAGGGCATCGTAAGGATTTCCGCCAGAGTGTCTAAGTCATCTTGGTAATTCTTCAAATAATTCTGGCAATTCTGTTAGGTCTTGAACTTCACTTACTTCTTATATGTTTAATAAAAAGAAGTTCAAAACATTGCCATGGCTGTTGAATTCCACGGGCTTGTCTTCCCCTTAAAATTCATTACATGGTTTGTACTCTTTTGCAGAATATAATACACATAAGTTTGGAGGTGGATGCTTTCAGCATTAAGTTCAAAGAAATCACTGCTACATGGGCTGGGCATAGTGGCTCATACCTCTAATCCCAACCCTTTGGGAGGCCAAGGGGTGCAGATCACAAGATCAGGAGATGGGGGCATGTCTGGCAACATGGTGAAACCACATCTCTACTAAAAATGCACAAAAATTAGCTGGAGTGTGGTGGTGCGCAAGTAGTCCCAGCTACTTGGGAGGCTGAGGCAGGCAATTTCTTGAACCAAGGAGGCGGAGATTTGCAGTGAGCTGAGATCCACACTGTGCCCCCAGCCTAGTTATAGATCAAGATTATGTCTAAAAAAAAAAAAAATACTGCTACATGGACATCCATCATTCCGGCATCTCTGCCATAACAGCTGAGTATCGAGAATGTCTGTTGATTTCTTTAACTCCAAATTTGTGTTGTGTCCTTAGTCTCCTGTCGTACCATAAAATTATTATTATTTACAAAAGGACAATTTATCTATAGTTATTTCCTCTCAGTATACTACATTCTTTTAGAATTTAAACATAGTGTCTCCCAACCTGAAATTTGATTTTAAAAGCCAGAAAAATGTTTTGGACATCTTTTGGCTCAATATTTTCATCTTCATCTCCTCCTGAGCTCACCTGAGGTAAAGTTCCATTCCATCAAATTCTCTCAACTCACAACAACCTCATCCCACTCCAATATGATTTTGTCCCCAGCAGATTGATGCATAATTTTTGCTGGCAGTGGTAATGTCCTAATAAAAAAAATCATGAGATGGCACATCAGACTTTTACCTTATGTTCTAGCTCAGCAGAATTTGATCCCTGTCTGATAAGGAAACCATATTTTCCCTAGAAACTTTTCACTTTTGTCACAGGTTTTGTTCCCGGGGGCTGGATAGATGAAGTTTAGTGTGCAGGATGTTTATTAGGAAGTAATGTGAGGATCCACATCTGTGGAAAGGATTAGAGTGAAGCCTTATGTGCAAAGGGACAAGTCTAATGGCAACGCAGCCTGACTTTGTCAACTGGCGCACAGACAGGCACATTCAGCTAGAAAGGCCTCCCCTATTTGTCCCAATTGAATCACATGGCAAAGTCTATGCATCCCTTGCCTCCATTAATAATTGTGTGCTTGCCACTTGTGGAGGGTGAGACTTTGAAGCAGGTGGCTTTCTGTGGCTGAAGAAAACCATGTGTGCTGGTAAAGTTTTCCAAAGAGACAGAGGAGAATGGCATCTGCCGTGTATGTTGCACTTTTTCAAAGAGGAAGCAGAAGGATAACGTCCTCAATGGCTCTGTATGCAGATGGGTGGACAGTAATGTCTGTCCCTCCTGTGACCTAAGAAGAACAGGTGGCAGACATGCAGCCAGGCAGTTAGAGGTGCCACAGTGTTAGGAGATAAACAGCTGTCATAAGCAGTGCTTCTTTGAATCAGGTGTGACACAAGTCTTGCATCCCTTGCATGGACTCTTCCCGTTATCCTGCTGTCCTACCTCATGAAGAGGAGTGAGTGGGGGCTGGGTGGTGGGCAGTCCCAAGGCAGGGTACACTTGCCTGCAGTGTTCCACATGAGTTCCAAGGAGGTAGCCCAGGAGGTCATCCATGAACTTTGTATTTCCTTATGTTTCTTGTCTTTGCCTTTGGGGAACATGTTTCATTGGACTCTGAGTCAAACAACTCATGTATCCTATATCTTCACATTGTCCTTCACTTAAGGGAATCTCCCTAATCTCTAATGCCTTTGTTTTATTATTACTATCAATATTATAATAATTAACATTGTAGATTATTAACTTCATTGTTGATTTTCAGTTATTTTTATTCATGGAGTTAATGAATTTTCTTTTGTAATACTTACACCAAGATGAAGATAATTTATTAGTTCAGGAAGAATCTGCATTCTGAAGGTGAATAGAAGTTCATGCTACAGATGGGCAGACACATGCCCTCCCAATTCCTGATGGACCTCCTAGTGCCTCCTAGACCTAAGGAGTCTCCTGCAATGCTCCAAGATGCCACCAAGGCAGGGATGTGCTTGTGCATGCCTGAGAGCATCCAGGATGAAGTAAGGCTCTGGAAAAATGCACGAGTTTCCACATAATCCCCAAAAACCTTACAGGAGAACTGGATGCCACAGAAACAGGAGTGGTCATTGACACCACAAAGTCACCAAAATTGTTTTGAAGTCAATTAGGAAACCCAGGAATCACTCTTGCTGCCATTAAATTGAAGAACAGGAGCCTGTGAATGGCATCCTTGTCCTGCCTGAAACTCCACAGATATTTCTGTGTGGCTTCAGAGTACCAGAATCTCGTGATTTTCCAGAAAGGCAGGGACAGCTTATGCCAGCCCATCCCTCTGCAGAATGTGCCCCAGCAGATCAGAGGCATGGAACCATCATGGACTGCACAAAGGCTCAAGGCCAGCTTCCCAGACCTGCCTGTGACTCTAGAGCAAGTTCTGAGTCACGTAGATTGCCAAGGAAGGTTAATGATGATCTGGAAGATGGGACAAGCAGATACCACCCTAAACAATCTGCAGGATTCTTCGCAGGAAGCCAGAACCAGCTCATGCCACACTAGTGCACCTTGAAAACCCTGAATGCAATGCCGCTCTGCAGAAAGTTCAACAAAGTGGCTGGGAATTTTGCATTCTAGGCTGCGACCCTACGGTGCTTCTGGACACGTGATCAGAAATTGAACATTGGTATATCTAACTCTGACATTTTCACAAATGGTTTTTTTAAATAAGGTAATATAGACAAAATATAATATAACCATATGTATTATATGCCAAAATATGCTTCACAGCATCAAGTAGACTCACCTTGAAATACAGTCTAGGACAACCTCCATTTTCAGGTATTTTCTTTTAAAAGTGAAACTCTCCCACCAAAAGAAACCAACAACATCACAGGTTTTGCCTCCAACAAACCGACAGAAAGCCAATACATTTATTCTACCACTGTAAAGTGGACTACGGTGCAACACATCGTGTGAGCCATATGTGGCATCACCGTGAGCCAAATGGGGACTCGTGGTGTAAACAGCACTCCCACGTGTTGTTAGCGTGCGTGAGATTCACTTGGCGAATTTGACTAGGTGCGTGTTGGTAGAGTGGGGCTGAGGTTCTCTTGCCTGTGGATGTAAGAGTCACCCAGGTCTGCGAAGACCTGCGGTCCCCTCAATCAACTCTGTTTCAGAGACAAAATGACTTGGATTGCTGACCAGTCAAGAAATTTTCAAGCCCTTGAAAATCAATTACACACAAACACGGAATGAAGTCAAAGAGAGTACGTCATCTTTTTGAGAATTTTATTCACTTCAAAACAAATTAAACACTATTTCAATGGCATTCCAGAGCCCAATTTGAGGCTGAGAAAACACCCCAGAAACGCTTTGCGCAGAACGCTTCACAGCGTCAAAACACTGCTGTCAGGGCGGGCGCAGCTGAGAAGGCCTGCATCTCTCAGGGTTCCCTAACTGTTCCTGATTCAGTCATCTAGAGCAAATGCACAGTCATTCCCCAGTTCCTACTGACATCTGTGGAAGTCTGACTCCGCGTCACCACCAACCAGTTTCTGAGTCAGCGAATCACTGGCACAGAAGCTTCTGGTGGTGGGTTTCCCAGGCGCCCTGCGAACTACAATGTCCCTCACAAAGAATTCGATGGGCAGTCTCTGCATGTGGTCCCTGCCTGGCCTGGGCTCCAACATCCCCAGAAGCACCACAGCTGGGGAGCTTGGGAGTCACCACACACAGTCTGCTCTCTGCTCTGTGCTCCTCAGTCCCACAGACCCTCCAAATCCACCGAGACTGGATGCAGTGGAGCCCCGACCATCTGTAGTCTCACTCCCGGAGTCAGAATCGCTGTCCTCTGGGGAGGAGGAAACCTGAGAATCTCATAGAGGGGACACTCAGAGGGGACAGGAACACAGGGAGCCTCAGCTTCTCTGAGACATGACGGCTGTGAGCGAGAGGCTCAGCTACCGAGGAGAGAGAAGCAGGAGCTGTCAGGAGGCTGGGCTCACCATCCGTTTTCCAATCTCGGAAGAGCATTCTGAGAGGAGGCTGGGCCCCATCGTGGCTGGCCGCTGGGTGATGGGACATGGTGCAGGCCTGGGCAGTAGGCAGGCAAGGTCTGCTGTGCGGAGGCTGCCCGGTGGCTGCTGGGCACCTGGGGCGGGTGTCCCCCTGCTCATCTGGGCGATGGACTTGGTCTGAGGTTCGGTTGCAGCTGGCAGAGTTGGAGAGTCTCGGGGCCCCCAGCTCACCTCCTGGATGGCATTTTAGGGCATCTGGAAGGAACCCATTCTCAGTTTCTTGGGGATTCAGGCAAGCCTGAGTCTGAGCCTGGGCAGCTCTCTTGGCTCTGGCCTGAAACTGAGATTGGAGCCGAGGCCCAAGCTGTGTGTGTCGGCTGGTGGGCAGGGCTGTGAGGTCACCGCAGCACACGTTGTCTTGTGCCTGGGGGCTGATGGCCAGATCCAGGCCGTGGGGCTTGGAGGCAGCCTGGGGAGCTAGGCTGCCACCCTGAGGCCTGCTGTGTATCGGCTTCACCACGGCCGAGAGGCTCGGGCCCTGCTGCCTGACTCGAGCTGAGGGATGTCGGCCACAGCCCTGTCTGTCGTTCCTTGGTCGGAGACTTGGCGAGGGGAGCTCGGACTGGCTTTTCTGAGGGGAGACAGTGAAGCCAAGACGGATACCGTGTCAGACATTTTGGTAGCTGAGCCATCAGTGAGGGCAGTGTCCACGCGTGGCCTCTTATTAATTGTGTGGACCGGCATTGGCCTGCTTGCAACCTGAAAGAAAGGGAGCCACACACGTTAGAGTTCCTGACATCGAGCCAACATGAAATCAATCACATTCAAAGACAAGGTGCACACAGCAGGAAATTCTTAATACGGTATGGACAGGCGGTCCTTGGAAGTAGGGACAGATCCTCAAGGTGAGTGCTGATCGGGACAAGACCCATGAAAAATGCACTCTCGAGCTATGATCTGAGAATACCATTTTTCTAAAGACTGTGTCTTGGGCATTCACTGGATCAGCGCCTCACTCAGCCTTCCATGAAGTGGGACGGACTAATGTCATCTGAAGAGCAGGTCGGTGGCTCAAGGGTTCCCAGGACGTCTTTTCTGAAAACATGCATGTTCCTGGGGTGAGCCTCCTGAATGTTTGGCGCCCCAGAGGGACTAATTTCCTCCAACCGCTAGGAAGATGTTGTTAGCAGGCTTGCCATCATTGCACAGAAAAGAAAGCAGCGGAAATCGGCATCTTCAGATGCCTTCATCTGGAATCAAATGGACCTGGAAGGATCGTAGAGTCTGACCAAGAAGGCAGGAAGAAGGGTTCCCGATCCCTCACACACCGCGGGGAACCTGAAGGAAATCAACCAGGGTGACCTAGAGGAGAAAAGACCAGCGGCCCAGGAGTGACACTCACCCTCAGATAATCCACAAGATTCCATGGATTCTTTTCGATTTGGCAGCAGCTTCTCGGAGTGTCGGAAAAAGATCTGGAGGAGAGCCTTCCTCTACAGGGTCTTGTTGCCTGCTGCAGAAGAGAAAAGTTCAGGCCCTGCCCCCTGGTTCTCCCAGGAGACAGGAGAAGCCTGTCACCAGGGGCCCAGTCCCGTTCTGTGTTTTGTGATACATAAATGGAACTTTTGTGCCCTTTCCGCCTCTGCACCTTCCCTCATGTGCCAACCTTCCCATCCTGCTGGTGGCCCTCTAGGCTTCCCAAGTAAGGACTGTCATTTGCATTCCGTTGCTTTTCCCCTGTCATAGGAGAACCTGCCACAGACGCCCCCGCCTCTCCACCATCCTGAATCTCCCAGAGCCAAAGGAGCTCCCCGGATGGGAACCCGGTCTGTTTCTCTGCAGCATTCCTTCCCTGTCCCAGAGACGGAAAGGCACACGGTGTGCGGGTGCAGAGACACTGTGTCCTTAGGCGGCGGCAGTACCCTGGGGAGTGGTGAAAACCCTTCCCACTGCTCCCACCTTAGTCTGGCTTCACTTCTCTCCCTTTTCCTTGTTCAAGGGCCCAGGTTCCTTCGAACCTGGGGCTTCCATAGTTTCAGTTTTCCTTCCCTTCCTTTCTCCCAAAGGTCTGGGGAACCAGGGCTCCGTTCCAGCACTTCATGGGGCACCTGGTACTTCTGGCCGTGTGGCCAAAGGCCCGCAGTTTTGCACTTGACCTGTGGGTGGAAAGGAAGTGATGTCAGTGAATGAGCTGAAGCCACAGGCAGTGATCCAATGTCAACATTGAGACGGATTGTGATTTCAGGGCTGAGTGAGGATTCAAAGCGGGGACACCGGCATGGGGGGCCCTTAGAGGCGGGAGGAGTTCGGTTATGATGTTCCCTCCCAAAGCCCATGTGAGGGAGGAACTCTCAAAGGAAGGACTCAGGGTTCTAGCGGGGACGATCGTGAACCCGATGTCCACAACACAGCCCAACCTGGCTACACAGGATTCTGAGTGGAAAGGGAGGTTGCTCCCAAGAGTCTCTCCAGGCCGAGGGAGCTGTCAGGAGGCTGGAGGTCCACCATCCGTTTTCCAGTCTCCGGAAGAGCATTCTGAGAGGCTGGGCCCCATCGTGGCTGGCCGCTGGGTGATGGGACGTGGTGCAGGCCTGGGCAGTAGGCAGGCAAGGTCTGCTGTGCGGAGGCTGCCGGTCGCTGCTGGGCACCTGGGCGGTTGTCCTCCTGCTCATCTGGGGCGACGGACTCGGTCTGAGTTCGGTTGCAGCTGGCGGAGGTTGGAGAAGCTCCGGGGCCCCCAGCTCACCTCCCTGGATGGCATTTTCGGGCATCTGGAAGGGACTCATTCTCGGTTTCTTGGGGAAGTTCAGGCAAGCCTGAGTCGGAGCCTGGGCAGGTCTCTTGGCTCCTGGCCTGAAACTGAGATTGGAGCCGAGGCCCAAGCTGTGTGTGTCGGCTGGTGGGCAGGGCTGTGAGGTCACCGCAGGACGTTTGTCTTGTGCCTGGGGGCTGATGACCCGGATCAGGCCGTGGGGCTTGGAGGCAGCCTGGGGAACTTCTCGGCGGCCACCCTGAGGCCTGCTGTGTGTCGGCTTCCTCACGACGAGAGGCTCCGGGCCCTGCTGCCTGACTCCAGGCTGAGGGATGTCGGCCACAGCCCCTGTCTGTCGTTCCTTTGGTCGGAGACTTGACGAGGAGCTCAGACTGGCTTTTCTGAGGGGAGACAGTGAAGCCAAGATGGATACCGTGTCAGACATTTTGGTAGCTGAGCCATCAGTTTGGGCACGGTCCACGCGTGGCCTCTTATTAGTTGTTTGGACCGGCATTGGCCTGTTTGCAACCTGAAAGAAAGGAGACCACACACGTTAGAAGTTCCTCGGCATCGAGCCAACATGGAAATCAACCACATCCAAAGGCAAGGTGTACACAGCAGGAAATTCTTAATACGGTAAGGACAGGCGGTCCTTGGAAGTAGGGACAGATCCTCAAGGTGAGTGCTGATCGGGGCAAGACCCATGAAAAATGCACTCTCGAGCTATGATCTGAGAATACCATTTTTCTAAAGACTGTGTCTTGGGCATTCACTGGATCAAAGCGCCTCCACTCAGCCTTCCATGAAGTGGGACGGACTAATGCCCTTCTGAAGGCAGGTCAGTGGCTCAAGGGTTCCCAGGACGTCTTTTCTGAAAACATGCATGTTCCTGGGGTGAGCCGCCTCCATGTTTGGGGCCCCTGAGGGACTAATTTCCTCACGCCGCTAGGAAGACGTTGTTGGCAGGCTTGCCATCATTGCACAGAGAGAAAGCAACAGGAAATACGGCATCTTCAGATGCCTTCATCTGGAATCAAATGGACCTGAAAGGATTGTGGAGTCCCTGACCCCAAGAAGGCAGGAAGAAGGGTTCCCCGATCCCCTCACACACACGGGAACCTGAAAGGAAATCAACCAGGGTGACCTAGAGGACAAAAAGACCAGGGGCCCAGGGTGACACTCACCCTCAGATAATCACAAGATTCCATGGATTCTTTTCGATTTGGCGGCAGCTTCTCCGGAGGTGTCCCGGAAAAGATCTGGAGGAGAGCCTTCCTCTGCAGGTCTTGTTGCCTGCAGAAGAGAAAAAGTTCAGGCCCTTCCCCCTGGCTCTCCCCAGGAGACAGGGAGAACCCTGTCTGGGGCCCAGTCCCGTTCTGTGTTTTGTGATACATAAATGGAACTTTTGTGCCCTTTCCGCCTCTGCACCTTCCCTCATGTGCCAACCTTCCCATCCTGCTGTTGGCCCTCTAGGCTTCCCAAGTAAGGACTGTCATTTGGATTCCGTTGCTTTTTCCCCTGTCATGGGGAACCTGCACGAAGCGCCCCCGCCTCTCCACCGTCCCTGAATCTCCCAGAGCCAAAGGAGCTCCCGGATGGGGAACCCGGGAGGACACGGAGCTCTGGTCTGTTTCTCTGCAGCGTTCCTTCCCTGTCCCAGAGACGGAAAGGCACACGGTGTGCGGGTGTAGAGACACTGTGTCCTTAGGTGGCAGTACCCTAAGGGTGGTGAAAACCCCTCCCACTGCTCACCTTGGTCTCTCTTCCTTCTCTCCCTTTTCCTTGTTCAAGGGTCCAGAGTTCCTTCGAACCTGGGGCTTCCATGGTTTCCGGTTTTCCTTCCCTTCCTTTCTCCCAAAGGTCTGGGGAACCAGGGCTCCGTTCCAGCACTTCATGGGGCACCTGGTACTTCTGGCCGTGTGGCCAAAGGCACCGCAGTTTTTGCACTTGACCTGTGGGTGGAAAGGAAGTGATGTCAGTGAATGAGCTGAAGCCACAGGCAGTGATCCAATGTCAACATTGAGACGGATTGTGAATTCAGAACTGAGTGAGGATTCCAAAGCGGGGACACCGGCATGGGGGCCCTTAAGTGGCGGGAGGGTTCGGTTACGATGTTCCCTCCCACAGCCCATGTGACGGAGGAACTCTGAAAGGAAGGACTCAGGGTTCTAGCGGGGACGATCGTGAACCCGATGTCCACAACACAGCCCAACCTGGCTACACAGGATTCTGAGTGGAAAGGGAGGTTGCTCCCAAGAGTCTCTCCAGGGACCTGTCGGGCCGGTTAGGAGGTCCTAAGCCAGGCCCACTTTGGATGGGAAAAGCAACCCGGGTGGTGCCGGCAGAACTCTTTGGAATCCAACCCAGTCTCTGAGGACCGTGTGACACTCGCCCCCTCCTCCCCCCTCGATACCCAAAAGATTCCAAGGCTAGACATACCCTGGGATCCTCTTCATCGGGTGGGGGAGCCCTTGGCCCAGCTGGGGCCCTCTGCTGCTTCTGGAGGGTCTGGGCTCTCACGAGTCTGTTTGTCCCACTTTTGGGGTCACGACGTGCCATCTTCTTCGTCTCCTGGGCGTTTTATGGCCGCCTTTTTCAGGGGTTGATGGTTGGGTCACCTGAATCACACACAAACACACACAAAGCGATGGTTAGGCACAATGGATATTCACACACCCACAAGAAACCCTCAGCTAATTCCATGACAGTGTGGTCATGAGGAGACCTCACCACCCGTCGGTCAAATCTGTGGATCACAATGTGGTGTGTGCATCCTCAGATATTGTGTGTTCCTCTGCCGTGACTACCTGGTCCAAGAGTAAACTTCGCCTGCCACATGGCCCACGGCCTAGGTATGTGGAGTTGGAGTTGAGATTTCAATCGCAACCAACAACTGATTCTGGAGACTGGACTTAGGTCTATCACCACTCACTCCAGTAGAAGACACAATGATTCTCTGTCCCCTGAGGGACAAAAGAATAGAAGCTACAGGGCATAGCCGATGTCACCCCTTGGCAGGTCTGCTTGAAGTCAGGGATAAGGGATGCTTCCTATCAGAACTCAAATCGCTACTCTTGCCGTTTCATTAGGCAACTTCCAAACACAAATTCATCGAGAGAAGTTATCTCCCTCTCTACCACACTAGCAGGTGATGGTCTTTCCTGCTCTGTCTTTTTGGCTTTAGCTCCAGTCCCTCTTTATTTATTTTTCTGGTATTTTACACACGCCATACGAATTCATCTAAACAAACGCTGAACAAGTGGCATATGAATTTCTTACACGGCTAAAGGGCAAACCACCCCTTTTCCAAAGTTCTTTTTCCATTTACCCACCAATTCAGCATGCTGGAGTAAATTTCTTTTTGCATTTCCATCTGGCTCTTCTCCCAGGCACGGAGATGGAAATGTTTTCTCGCTTTCTGTTCCAAGAATTACGAGTAAGGAGAACACATCCTACTGCATCAGCGAGCCCCAGTGTGATCTGTTTCTTTCACTCTCCTTTGTCTCTTTTCCCCCAACCCCTCAGGGATTACGTGAAACAACCAGTCGTTCAGGGAAACTAACCTGAATTTACAGGTCTACTTTCTTTCCTCGGCTGGCGCTCAGATGGACAGGTGCGCTGGCGCTCAGATGGACAGGTGCTGGAGCAGCCCTGCTGGAAGCGGTGCAGCCTTCAGGAAGCCGGAGGAAGGGGCAGAGAGGGACCTTTGCTTTCCAGGTTGCCTTTTATACTGCCTCTGGACCCCTGACGCGAAACGGACCCTAACCTAATCAACTTAATCCAATTACATGACCTGGAAAGGTCTATTTGCCCAGCCTACTCTAAGACGATGTTCACTATGGACAGACATTCTAAAACCTACCTGTACAGCTGCAAGCTTTGAAGAATAGATGTTTCCTGTCAGGTATGTAGCACTGGTGCATGTACCCCTGTCTGGTTTTACATCTTTTTTTTTTTTTTTTTTTTAAACAAGGTGCTAAAATAGACACAGTGTAATTGGACCATATTTACTGTATTTCAACGTAGGCCTCAGTGTCATCAAGGAGGTGCACCTTGACATGCAATCTCGGTCGTTATCCATCTTCAGAGCTTCTCCTTCTTCCCCACAGTAAGTGCGTCAGCAGAAAACCCTGACCACACCCTCACGTGTTTTCTCCTCCAGGAGGCGCTTGGAAACCACCGTGAATTGGACTGCACTGGGAAACCCAGATGAAGAAAGTCAACACCGCTTTGTCCTTCAGTGCCTGGCTCCTTTTTCAGCTCATCCTGCGGCTCCAGGCATTATGCCTGAAGAGTCTCCAGGACACCTGTGGGGCTCTATTTCCTTGGGTCCCGTTGCCATTTCTCTGGATTTGCGAAGATCCAGCGGACTTTCTGTGGAACTCTCTTGTCGGGGAACTTGGGTGCCACGTCCCCTCATTCTGCCCTTCGTCATCTGCACCTGCACGAGTTAGGGTCCAAGTTCCCTGGACGGGAAGAGACAGGCAGGAGTCGGAATGGTGAACCAGCACACTGGGGGCGTTTTCTCACTTGGTCCAAGTGACCCCATGGTCTTCTAGAGCTTTGGAACCAGTCGCATCCCACTTGACACTACACCCGACTCTCAGTTGCTGAATCTTGTTGGCCCTCTGGCGATCTCCTGTTGGATGAGTTGCACCTGCTGAAACTCGATTTCCCCTGGATTTGAGCTTCATTAATTATTCATGATTCAGGTGGGAACGCCTGCTTACATCCCCCTGTGGCTGTTCTCTGAGCTTTCCGGTCACATCGTTTCCTGCCATGCTCTTTGGTTCATTTTGGTCATGCTCCTTCTGCTGTCAGAGGAGCAGAGAGTTGATCTTGTTGATTCTGGATACTGATAGTTTCTAGGTGATCTGGATAACCAGGGTAACGACCCTCAACAGCGGCGGAAAGGGAGCAGCCATTTGGTGTTGCTCAGAAAATCCCACTCAGTTCCCAGGCCTCCTAGATGTGGAATCCTGTCAGAGTTGTTCCCAGGTCAGAGAACGGAGATAGTCTGTGCATGGTGGGATATCTTTACCTAGAGCTTTCAGTGAGTCTCGACCTCAGCTACTCTTAGGATCAGGGGAGAAGCATGGAAAGGCCCTGTGCTCAGGCATCTGGAAAGAAGACGGGATGAATATTCTACCTCTGAAGTACGTCCCAAATCTGGGAGTTTACTTCCCAGATTAATAGTGTCATCGACAATTGTTAAAATTGGTCATTAGTGTTTAATAATTAATCATATTATTACTCCTAATACCGCAGGGTGTGTACACCTACCTGTGATGTCATTCCTAATATCCAGGGAGGGAGAGCATGGTTTTAGTTTTAATATCGCAAAAAGCGCACACTCACCCTGTGACACAAATCCTAATATCCAGTGTGGTAGAGTATGACATGACTCCAAACATAGCAATGAATAGACAGCCACCCGGTGATATGGCTTCTTATATTCACGGAAGATGAATATGATCTTAGTCCCAATATCGCAGGGAGGGTACAGGTCTTCTGTGTTGTGATTTCTAATATCCAGAGGAGGAGAGGATGATAATAATTCCAGTGTCGTAGGCTGTGTTCACCGGCCCTGTGATATTGTTATTAATATCTTCGAAGGGAGAGGATATTTCTCCCAATGTGGCAGGGGGTGTACATCCACCCTGTGATATTCTTTATATTCCAAGTCCGAGAGGTTGATATTACTCCTAGTATCACAGACACTGTACACCCCCGTGTTTTTAATCCCTGCGATATTCGGAGTAGTATCATCCTCTCCTGGGTGGAAATTGGGAACAGTATCACCGGGGGCGTGTACACACCCTGCGATACTGAAAGTCATATCATCCTCTTCCCTCCTGGATCATGGAAACAACATCACTGTGGGGGTGTACACTTTCTGCGATATTGGGAGTAACATTATCTTCTGTGCCTTGGATTATTAAGGATAATATCACGGGGGCATGTGTACATCTTCTGCAATATTGGGAATAATATTATCCTCTCTCCCCCTGCATATTGGGAAAGATATCACAGAGTGGGTGTTCACCTCCTTCGATATGGGGATTAAAACCATCTTCTCCTGTTCCGGATATCAGGAGGAATATCACACGGGGATGTACAGTGTCTGTGATACTGGGAGTAATATCAACCTCTAGGCCTAGGAATATTAAGAAGAGTATCACAGGGTGGATGTATACCCCCTGTCATATTGGAAGTAACATTAGCCTCTCCCCCCAGTGGATATTAGGAACAATATCCCAGACTGGGTGTATGCTTCCTGCTCTACGGGGAGTAATATCATCCTCTCCCTTCTATGATATAAATAACAATATCACAGGGCAGGTGAACACAGCCTGCGATACTGGAATTATCATCCTCTCCCCCTCTGGATACTAGGAACTATATCACAGATGAGTTGTACCCTCCCTGCGATATTGGGAGAGATATTATACGCTTCTTCCGTGAATATTAGGAGCAATATCACTGGGTGGCTGTCCATCCATTGCTATGTTGGGAGTCATGTCATACTCTACCCCCTAGATATTAGCATCACCGCACAGGGTGAGTGCACACCTACTGCGATATTAAAACTAAAATCATGCTCTCCGTCCCTGGATATTAGGAACAACATCACAGGTAGGTGTACACCCCCTGCGGTATTAGGAGTAATAATATGATTAATTATTAAACATCTATGGTCGATTTTATTAATTATCAATGACACAATTAATAGGATGCCATTATTAACTATGGATAATTATTTTAAATATATGAATATGTACTCTTGAAAATAATTAGTAATATTAATGTCATTTAACAATATTATTAGTTCTTAATATTAATAATTATTTTATTACCAATATCACTTAGTATTGATTTAAGTAACATTAATTGCTGATATCATTATTTTATTAATAGTGATATTATGATTAATTGTTATACTAATCGTTAACATTTTTTACCAGTATTAATTTATACTATCTTTATTGTGATTATTAATATTGATGATTGCTATCAATTTTTATTATATTTATTAATATTAATAATTAAAAGACTTGTTCCTGATATCCGACGGAGAGAGGATGATATTACTCCCAATATCAAAGAAAGTGTACATCCCTCTATGATATTATTTCTAATAGTCAGGGGGTAGAGGATGACATTATTGAAACTATCGCAGTGGGTGTCCATTCCTTCGGTCATTTTGTTCCTTATATCCTGAGTGGGAGAGGTTGATATGACTCCCAATATCACAAGAAGTGTACTACCGCCTGTAATATAGTTCCTAACATCTAGGTGGGGAGAGGATGATATTACTGCCCGTATCGCACGAGTTGTAAAACCCCTTCGATATTTTGCCTACGATCCTGAGGGGAGAGGATGATATTATTCGCAATATCGAAGAAGATGTACAACCCCCTGTGACACTATGTTCAATATCCACTTTGGGAGACGATGACATTACACCCAATATCGCAGGGGATGTACATCCACCTTGGGATATTGGTCCTTATATCGAGAGGGGGAGAAGATGTTATTACTCCCAATAACGCAGGGGCTGTGGCTGTAAACACCTCCTGTGTAATTGTTTTTAATATCCGAGGCAAGAGAGGATGACACTACACCCAATATCGCAGGGGGTATACATTCACCCAGTGATATTGTTCTTAATGTACTCCACCTCTGTCCGCCAGGGATATCGTTTCTAATATCCAGGGGAAGAGAGGATAACATTATGCCCAATATCGCAGGGGAGTATACACACCCTCTTAGATGTTCCTAGTATCCAAAGATAGAGACGATGATGTTACTGGCCATATCGCAGCGGGGGTACACCCTTCTGTGATACTGTTTTTGACATTCAGTGGGGGAGACGATAACATTAATCCCAATATCACATAAGGCGTACAGAACCCTGTGATGTAGTTCCTAATGTACAGGGGAAAGAGAAGAATATTGCTCTCAATATCGCAGGGGGTGTAACCACCCTGTCCCCTGTATATTGCTTCTAATACGCTGCGGCATGGAGGCTCATAGTACTCCCAATATCCCAGAAGGTGCACACACACCTGTGATGTAGTTCCTAATATCTAGCGGGAAAGAGGCTGATTTTACTTTCGATATTGCAGTGGGTGTACACCGCCTCCAACCCCAGGGTATCATTCCTAATATCCAGGCGGGAAGAAGATGACATGGCTGACAATATCGAAGAGGGTGGACACCTCTTCAGTGATACGGTTCCTCTGATCCAGGGGGTGAGAGGATGATATTACTCCCAATAAAGTAGGAACCGTACAGCCACCCTGGGATTTTTTCCTTAATAACCACAGGGGATTGGTGACATTACTACCAATATTGCAAGGGGTGTACACCCCTCCTGTGATATTGCTTCTCATATCCAGGAAAGGAGAAGATGGTATTAGTACCAATATTGAAGGGATGGAGAGCCCCCATGGGATATTGTTCTAAAGATACATGTGGAAAGAGGATGAGATTCCATACAATATAACAAGGGGTGTACACCCCACCTGTGATATGAGTCGTAAAACCTAGAAGAAGAGAGAATGACATTGCTTCCAAAAACACACGGATTGTACACCCACTCTGTGATATTGTTCTTGTCATCTAAAGGAAGAGATGATGATACTACTCCCACTACTGGAGAAGGTACACACCCCCCTGTGATATTGTTCCTCATAACTTGTGGGGGAAAGCATGATATTACTTCCAATATGACAGTGGCTTGACACCCAGTCTGTGATATTGCTCCTAATTTCCAGTGGGTAAAGTATGATGTTCCTGCCAAGACAGTAGTGGGTGTACAGCCACCGTGTGATATTTCTCCAAATATTCAGGGAAACACAGGATGAAATTAAACCAAATGTCCCAAAAAGTGTACACCCATTGTGTGATATGATTCCTAATATCCGGAGGTGCAGAGGATGGTATTCGTTCTCCGATCGCAGGCTCTTTACACACAACATGGGAAATTGCTCCTAATATCCTGAACAAAAGACACTGCTAATAGTGGACACACATTGCAGGAGGGAGTAATTGGCTATTACGATCCACATCGCAGGGCATGAGACACTCCCCGCGATATGGGGAGTAATAGCAACCCCCTCGCCC